CAAAACTCACTCATGACATCTCTATTTTCACTGAGGGCATCTTGATGATGAAGACCACTTTAGTTGGAATCATCAAGGTAAATGCATTCATAAAGTTAATTGGGAAAAGATGTCAGCCTACACTGTTGGCAAGCTGATAGAATATTAAAACTTTGTTCCAATGTACAAGCAGGAATTTGGTGCTACTGTACAGTTTTCTTGATAACACGTTGTGATGTTTTAGGTGGACCCTAAGCAGCTTCTGGAAGACGGCATCAGGAAGGAGCTGGTGAAGAGGGTGGCTTATGCTTTGCACAAAGGCTTAATCTTCAACCCCAAGGCTAAGGTGAAGCATCTGATTTATTATCTGCTGATAGCCTATGTATTTAAACCTTTTCCTCTTCTTGTCCTGTGAGGATCAAAGATAAGAGCCATGCAAAATTAAAAGATTAGACTAAACAACAATATAATATTCAACTCTCTCAGCCCAGCGAATTGATGCCAAAGTTAAAGGACATGGCAGCCACCATGGATGGCTTCTACAGGTCGTTTGAATACATCCAGGACTACGTCAGCATTTATGGCCTTAAAATCTGGCAGGAGGAAGTTTCCCGCATCATCAACTACAATGTTGAACAAGAGTGCAACAGTTTCCTCCGAACCAAGGTCAGGCTTCACACACTAGCATGTTTTTTTTTTTTGTTTGTTTCCGGGAATGACCCTGAATAGTGTACTGACACTAGTTCATCCCTGCGTGATCAATAGGAAATGTTTGTTTGGCTATTTGTCACTAATAGGAGTTTATTGATTGGTTTGTTCTGCGCTTCCATTCAGATCCAGGACTGGCAGAGTGTGTACCAGTCGACTCACATCCCTATTCCCAAGTTTCCCTCTGTGGATGAGTCTGCCACCTTCATTGGTCGCCTCTGCAGAGAGATCCTCCGAATCACTGATCCCAAGTACGTCTGCTCAAATACATCAGTGAAAATAGAAGAGTTACAGAGCTGTTGGAGTCAAATCTTGCAGTATTGAAACCCAACTGAAACCAACTATGGTTCTCTCTGTAGGGTAACATGCTATATTGACCAGATGAACACCTGGTATGATCTGAAGAGCCACCAGGAGGTGACCAACAACAGGCTGTTCTCAGAGATCCAAGGCACTCTGGGGACATTTGGTCTCAACGGACTGGACCGCCTGCTCTGTTTCATGATTGTCAAGGAACTTCAGGTAATTAACTTCCTCCCAAAAAAGCCTGAAGTTTTGTGATAAAAACCTATAACCTTGTTATGCCTTTTATGATATCTTCCTCTATTATTTGTGTCATCAGAACTTCCTGACAATGCTTCAGAAGACCATCCTGAGGGACAAAGCTGTGGTTGATGTTTTCAAATCGATGCTGGGTGCTGTCAACCCAGTCCAAGGCATTGTGGGTAGGTATACATTTAGGGATCTATCTCTATAACCTGCCATCATTTTTGTATTCCTTTTATGAGATCTGCTGTATTTTGTGTTGCTATAGCTAATGCCAGCAAAGTGTACGCTAGTGCTGTGGCCAAGTCCCAGAAGATCTGGGGTGCGTACCTGGAAGCCATCATGAAGGTAAAAGTCCATACTGCTTTCTAATTGTTGGAAATAGAAAATAAATTTGAATATCACTCCTAATGAAACTCTTCATTTTCTGAGGAATACAAAATGCCATACAAAAATAGCGAACTGCTTGTGTTTGCTGCAGGTTGGTCAGATGCAGATTCTTCGACAGCAGATCGCTAATGAGTTAAACTACTCCTGCAAGTTTGACTCCAAACATCTGGCTGCTGCCTTGGAAAACCTCAACAAGTCAGTCTATTGTCACTACTGAGTTCATATTATTTTAGTACTGTCTATATATTTTGTATTTTTTATAATTGGTGTTGAGGGAATCACAAAAAGATGCTAACATGAGCTACATGCTGCTGTTCCTAAAGGGTTATGGACTAAACTCCAACAGTGATAGTTGCTGAGTTATGACTATTTCCTGTGCCGATTACAAGTCTGTATTACTGACTTTATGACAAATACTCTCACTGTTTGCTTTTAAAAAGAAGATACAGCATTTTGATACACAATGCATAGGTATAAATTAATAAGTGATGATAGGTGCACATCTAACTTTTCTTCTCACTCTGATTATGGTATACCAGGTCTCTGCTGGCAGATATTGAAGCCCACTACCAAGACCCGTCTCTGCCCTACCCCAAAGAGGACAACACACTTCTGTATGAGATCACCGCGTACCTGGAAGCTGCCGGCATTCACAACCCTCTTAACAAGGTTCAGAGCTCCCCCACATAATCACTCAGCCTTGTTCTCGTCTCACATTGTACCTGGAATCAGAATTAGTCTTTTGATCTTCAAAAACCAACACAAACTGAACCCAGCTTCTTTTCTGTCTGAGAGTTATACGTTACAGGATGTTCACACCATTTTTCTTCTGTTTATGCCTCACACAGATCTACATCACGACAAAGCGTCTCCCTTACTTCCCCATCATCAATTTCCTTTTTCTTATTGCTCAGCTGCCTAAGCTTCAGTACAGCAAAAACCAAGGTAAGCTTTTCATTCTTCCATAGCTCCTATTAAAACTGAGGTCAAACCAGTGAACTATGATAACAATAATATTAAACTTTATTTCAATGGCATCTTTCAAAACTGGAGTTACAAGGTGCTTTAGAAAAAAAGAACAGCGGTTAAACATTAAAAAGTAAATACTGCAATAGAAAAGATATTAAAACATTTTTTTAAAGATATATAAAATATTACACAAATGCCTGTCTCTGAAAGTGTTTTTTTTTTTTAAAGCCTTTTAAACTGAGGCACTGACTGAGCTGCACTGACAGTAAGGGGGAACTTGTTACAGAGTCTTGGAGCTTAAAGAGTAAAAGATTTGTTTTAAGCCTAGAAAATGGAAACTTTAGCTGCAAGTCACTCTCTTATCTGAGGGGAATAGGTGCAGAATAAGGCGTCAAAACTTCTGAGATGTAGAGCAGAACCAGACCATCTAGAGATTTGTAAGCCATCTGCAGAATCTTAAATTGAATTCCATAACGAATGGTGTTTGACTCTTAAGAGACGAATAATTCTTTAGTTCTCTTCTCCCATCACAGTAGTTTTTTCTTTTTTTAAATTTAGTAAAAAGCTGAATAAAATCTGGCTACGCTTTTCATTTTTTGTTTTTGTTGACATCAGAGTTGGCCTCATGGTACATGTTGGCCATGTTTGATAGGTCATTTACCAAACTTAGCATACATAGAAGGTTCTATTCTGTCAGTATATTAGACTTGCTGGTATATAAGACTTCATTAACGTGTCAATGGGGGATGTCTTGTGTTACGCCAGGAATGACCTGCAAGAAAGCCACAGACCCAGTTGACTGGCCTCCTCTCGTCCTCGGCCTGCTCACTCTGCTAAAGCAGTTCCACTCCAGATACACACAGCAGTTCTTGGCTCTCATTGGTCAGTTCATCCGCTCTATCATGGAGCAGTGCACAAGGTAACAGAACAGACTTTGGAATAATTACATATAAAATCCATTACTCTGTGTAGTTTATGATGATTGTTTTTTGAAAAAATAAAAAAATAAAAATCTTATTACCAAATGCTAAATTCATCCGGCTACAGCTTCATGAACCCATAATTGAGTTTTCATTTCATCCCATTACAGTCAGAAAATCCCTGACATGCCTTCTGATGTGGTGGGAGCTCTGATGTTCCTTGAAGACTATGTGAAGTACACAAAACTGTCTCGTAAGGTAAGACAACTTTCACCCTGTTAATACTTGTAGAAATGCTGTAAAAAGGTGGTAAATGAGAAATATGACAATGGCAGGGTGGTGGAGAAGCTGAAATTTAGATGATTTGGTACTCTACTTAAATATATCTTGCAACTGCTGTTATACAGTCATGTCTAATACCAGCAGTAATACGTGATTATTTATACAGAGACACCTTGACAGACACACAACTATAATGACTTTTAAGCATGATGTCTTGCTTTTGTTTCTCTATGTTCTGTAGTGATACTAACATGTAATCCTCTTTATTTTCTCTTTATTCTTCAGGTGGCCGAAGCTCATGTGCCCAGTTTCATTTTTGATGAGTTCAGAACAATACTGTGAAGATCTGGATGAAAAATTTCATCTGAAAAAAGAATGTTTCAGTTGCCATAGGCCTTTCCCCCCCACTGTAGACATTTAACTCGTCATGTCAAGAAAAGCACAGGCGTTATCAACAACATTAAGGATTGCTTTATACTATCCAAATGTTCCAGTGAGAAGCCTTCAGTAGGGATTTTTTTCAGGGCCCATACTGGTTATGAGTAATAAAGGAAAGCAATAACCAGTATATGATTGTACGAAAATAAAAATTTTGGTGTCAAAATTTTACAAATGTTTTAGTTAAAGATTTTTTTTCAATTTTTACCCTTATTGTAATTCAGTTAGTGCTGGGGGTGGGACAGTGCTTGAGACCACAGAGTGACTGCAGGGTGCATCACAGCCAAAATCACTTTTTAAATTAATTTCATTTATCAGGAGAAAAATAACAATGCTGAAAAATGCAAAATATTGGATCTGATTATTGGCTGGGCAGATAATTGGTGGACCCTTTGCACAAACTTAACTAAACAGACTAAAGCACCTAAATGGAAGTTTTAATGTTTGCACCTGTACTTTTCCTGCAGCAACATTTCAAAAGTGGGGCCTGTTGAATAGTTTACTTACACTTCATTGTTTAGGCTATTGATGTTTTGCACTAATAATAGAGTGTACATAGATGAGAATTACCTATGAATTAACATGCCAATTTTGTATACTGTCATTCTGTGCCATTTCTAAATGAAATCCAGTAATAAAAACGATTGTTCATAATGTGCTCTCATGTTTTTCTGCAGTTGCAAAATTTTCTGCTCAAGGCTCTTATTTTGAAAAACCAACTCAGAAGTTAGAACTTTCGCTGCTGTAGTTTTTTTTTTTTCGCGGGTGATTTTAAATTTACATTTCACCTCTTTAATTAATAACATAATCACTAAAACAAGTTGATTTCACTGCGACTTTACATTTACATTTACGTAGCAGCTCGTCAGTTTGCTCAGCTAACCGGAAGTGGCAGTTAACGTGAACAAGTGAGGCTAACTCTAAGCTAGCTAACAGTAGGTTATGTTCGCGGTGTTTTGAGGATTACATTTACCTCTCATCATGTCTCTGAGCGCTGTTCACGGAACACTATCGAGTTTGAAAGCATGTCAGACAGACATCGGGACAGGGATGGACATTGTGACAGACGTGGCCATGGACCTGGCTGAAGCTCAGGGTAAATATCACCAAACATCACTCCTCACCCTCACTGGATGTGTGTGTGTCTGTAAAACTCAGCTGCCAGGAATATGTCCCGATTCACTGTCTTTGAGCTACAAATTCAACGTACTTGTAGGTTATTTGAGTGTTTTTTCTACTTCTAAAATACTTGACTACATTCGTCTAGAAGCCATACTTAGAGTTCAAGTTCCTTCTAAAATGTAATGTGTACTTACACACATATGATTTGTATTTGTGACAGATGATGCTTTACAAACTTTACATCAAATTACCCAACAGATGTGACACTGCATCTTGACCAGCTACAGCTTCAACTGTAGTTGTCCTCAAATGAAGTCCCACCCTTCCATTAAAGAAAAGGCAAAATTCACAATAGTCACTTAAATCACTAGAAACTGAAAAAAAGTAATAATAAATAAAAATTTGCTAAATTCTAATTCAGTGAAACGTGACATTGCTTTTGATTTGTGGTTAAAGAGAATAATTAAAAAATAAATAAATGAATAACTGTCCCGGACAAATTAGAACACTTTGCTGATGAGCAGTGGACCAAAATCAGAATACCTGTCAACAGGTGCAGAAGTCTGATGGAGAGTTACAGAAAACAGTGGATTGCAGTGATTGGCTCAAAGGGTTGTTCAATAAAATATTAATTAACAGGTCCCATCATGCTTGTTTGCTTGTTTTTGTTGTTGTTTTTAATATTTCTGTTGAACCACAAATCAAAAGCAATGCCATGATTTTCATTACATTTTTATTCATTATTACTTTTTGTCAATTTCAACTTATTTCAGTGGCAGATGTTTTTTTTCCTTCTTTTATGGGAGGGTATGAATAACTTTGAGGACGACTGTGTATCTTGCAGGTTTATGCATCAATAATAAAGATCCAGTAATATAATGAAAATGTGTACATAGAGCTGCCACAATTAATCAAATGATCAATTACTTTCCAATTATTCAATTAATCACCAATTAGTTTGATACTTAATCACTTTCCAGAAGTTTAAATATTTTCTGGTTTCTTTCCTCCTGTATGACAGTAAACTGAATGTCTTTAGGTTGTGAGGAAGTCATGTTAGACTTTGACATACTGATCAACCTTTTTTTTTTAAAATCAGCTTTGACATTTAATAAACTAAACGACTGACTGATTAATCAGGAAAATCAAACAATAAACTAACCGTTCAATCAACATTAAAATAGTCGTTAGCTGCAGCCCTGCTTGTACAATGTAAACTGCTGCTGCATCTTTTTACAATAGGTAATAGAATATGTTTACAGTGTGCTAAGTAAATGATGGGCTTACGTCCTGCACCGCTGCTCTTATGTTACAGATGAAGAGGGCAATCCTGGCATCAAAGCGATGGAGGATATGATTCTGGAGTGTGCCAAGCTGGACAAAGAGATTAACTGCTTTGTTGATGTTGTGCAACAAGTGACTTCAGAGGTGAGCACAACTGGCATAATCTAATCCCATAAGTGGAAAACATGTTTAACTCTATACTAAATCAATAGATCTGTACTGTTGGGAGAAAGATGTTGATTAGTAAAGAGTACATCTGATTCTTTGACTCACTGAGTGCTCACCGCGTCTCCTGTAATGGCCATACTTAATGTTAAAGTGCCACTTTTAAACTCAGCGGATAACACTGGGCTTGATTAATTGTGAAGGTCAAAAAACTGGTCTTACATTCTTTTATTTCTGCAGGTTACTACACAGCAGCCCGAGGCCATGTTCAGCCTGTCTGCCAAAGTGAAGGAGCAGTACACGCAGAGAATCGCCAGACTCTCTGATGCCGAGCTGCACACTCACCAGAAAGTAGTGGCCTTCAAGGACAGCATCAAGAACTCTTTCAAACAAGGTAAAGCCTGCAGAGAGACAAGAGAGGGAAAATAGTCTGAATCAATAGACTGCTAGACTCAATGCAATGAATTCAGGACTTAAAATAGACACTGATAATAGCTGTGCTTGCAGGAGAACTTCATAGCTCATGAAAGAAGAAAATCTTGCAATGTGTCCTTTTTTCAGGATAATTAGCTTAATTCTAAACACACAGCATTCTTTATTTACTGCTCAGTTGCTATCTTAGCCTGTCGCCTGCTTTATGTTTGTGGTCCTCTTTCCAGCGCTGTTTTAAAAAAGGTGGTCCCACACAGACAGTGCCATGCTTTTGCGGTTCCCCGTAGACATTATAGGCTTCATTTTAGTATGTGTGATGTTTTTTTCCCCCTATGCTCAATCAGTCCCAGAAGTTGCAAGAAGAAAGAAAACTTATTCTGATGTATGAACTTTGTAAACTGGGGTGAATTCATGAGCCTATTTCATATTCTGTTACGGTGAAGGCCATCAAATGTCACTCCTGTACACTGAATAAGTAGCAAAAGGAAAAACTCGTGCTCCTCTTGAGGGATACTTTTGGCAGAATCCTTTTTGCACTCTTAAAGGCTGAAATTAAAGTGTGCTGCATTGCATAATAGTCGGGAGAGTTAAAGAAGACAACATTTTTGCTACCTTGGGCTCAGGATGACCTTTGAGTTATTCAATAGTTGTATCTGTTCCGGGACAACAATAGATATTGTGAAATTTATATGCGGACTGTGAAAGGGGAGATTGTTTTGTGCGTGGGTGGATGTGTTAGATGTCTGTGCACCAGTGTGAGTGGATGAAATTTTTGTGTGCACACGTAGGCAGCCGTGCATCTGTCGGTGTAATGTCTTACGGCTATGTGCGCAACTATAAATGTATGCATCTTATGCCAAAGCAAAGGTTTGTGAATGGTGGTAAACAAGTGACCATGTGGACAGTGTCCCTTTTTTTTTTGAGGATTTATTAACATATGCAGGATTAGCTCTGAATCTATTAGTACATAAGTGGCACATGTTGCCATATTCAGTAGATATAATTTCATCCAAGCCCGCATCCTTGCCTGCTGGATATTTTCCTGCCATCTTGTAAATGATCCAGTTCATTATTTCTTACTGTGATTGGACGTTTGGAATCAAACTGCTCTTATGATATGTTTTTAGCCAACCAGGAGCCAGCAGCGAGCATGGAGGAGCTGGATGAGGACCTCGCTGTCACGCAGACCCAAATCAACCTTACCTGCCCGCTCACACAGGTAAGGCAGTCCAGGATGCTTTTTTTTTTTTCTTCATTTAACTTTCTATCAATTCTTCATCATTCCTCTTTTATTTCAAACCACTTCCATCTTCTTCCATGGTCACCTAACCTCTGACAGCAAATAACAAATTATTTGCGGTATCAGAAAAACAGAGAGAAGCAGCTACGTTTTATTTTCTGTCTCTGTGCTCCCTTGTACAACACACCTCTCTGTATCTGTATTCAAGGTGGAAATGGTGAACCCCGTGAAGAACAAGAAATGTAACCACCATTATGATGAAGGAGCCATACTGGGCCTGATCAAAACAAGACGCAGCCAGAAAAAGAAATGCCGGTAAGACGCTCTTCCTTGGAGGACCGGTAGAAAGTTGAGTCAGGTTTTGCAGCAGTAAACAACTCTGCAGGCTGGCGTGGGACCAGCAGGCTGAGTTAATTCACATTTTCTTTATTATACTGCTTTGATGTTGGAATCAAATTAAATGTGGCTGGTCCTGGAGGAACACTGATGAAATCCCAGTGCCGGTCTATGTTGTTGTCAAAGAAGCTTGCCTATTGTCACTGTGTGCAACTTGAGCAGCAATATCCTTTACTTATAGTGATTAGGTGTGTGACTGATGAAACGCTGTTGTACCGGTAGTGAGCAGCATTTCGTCAGCAACCCTGAAGTGGCCCATCATTCAAGTCTTCCAGCGTATCGGAGCTTTTATATAACAGCTACCAAAAGCATATGTGGTGCCGAAGAGGTTTTAAAAATGTATAATTCACTTGTAAGAACACAGAAAATAGGAAATACAATCCCTAATTAGTATTACGCAACTTACAGGTATAGAGTGAGCTTAGAAAAATAGTTAAGTAGGGGTTTGACCACTTAACAATGTGTTGTGTAAAAATTATGCAACAGAAGCTTTGATCGGACGTGGTCATATATAGTAAAGGTTTAATTGTAGCCTTTCTACATTAAGAATTCTGTAAACAACTGGATCAATGGTATATATTTTACTGGTTTGTGTACTTATGGATTCCCAAATGTTTCCAACAGTAGGTGTTCTTCCATATATTCATCAAGCAAATTGATGTGAATTTTTAAAATGTCTGTAGAATATTTTCAATTTTAAAAACAAAAATTCAAATTAAGTTTGTTTCAGTTAACACTTTGGAGCAACTAAAAACAGGCTGTCTGGTGTCTTTAGACTAGATATACATCTTAACCACACAGCTTGTAAGTTTTTTGACTTCCAGCTTTTGAAATGTTGTGGAAAAAAATATTAGAAATAAGAATTAGGTTTGTTTTCATTAACTGCTTTGAAACACATCAAGTAGGTTGTGTGGTGTTGTCACAAGGGGGCGGTATACATGACGTCAAGCATGGCTGTAGTTGTTGGCCAGCTGCTACAATATCTCTAAGAAGAAGAAACAAACAAAACTTTCTGTACAAGAGAAGAATGTAGTGTTCAGGTACTGTTTTCACTCAGGACGTTATTCCCACATATCAGCCGGCGTTGGCCGTGTTTCGTGCTGTCCAGCGGTGAAACGAGTAGAAACAGCTGATGAGTCAGAACAGATGTGGATTAAATGTTTGCTTCTCCAGCATTTATCCAAAAAAGGTGTTCCCACTCTTTTTCTAAAAAGTCAACAATGACCTCAAATGAGCATAGGAAGTTTTTTTTTTCTCGCAAAATTTAAAATGTTGCCAATTCCATTAACTTTTCTTAATACTTCAAAATGTGCAAAAACAAACAAACAAAAAAAAAAACATGATAACAAAACATGGCCAGTGTTCACAGGCAGAGAAATCAGTTTGTTATTGATTATAACAGAGCGTTTCACTTTAGTCACCTGTCAGTGGCCTTACATCTTCTTAACCGTTGCTGCTGGGCAAACACGGTAAACACTGGTTATGTCAGAGAATGTGGAAGAAAGGAGTAAAAGTAGGTGGACTAGCTAGCTAGTCAATGTATTATTTTCTCTTTCGATTGTTTTTTCTCATGATTGTTTTTCTGTAGTGTAACTGGGTTTACTACGGTGACAACAGTGGAATCCCCATGATTGACTTGGTTACGTAGCTTTGGCTACAGTCCACTCATCTAACGGAGAGTTAGCAAATAACGTCTTGTCAGCTAACATTGTTTGTACCCATTAGAATGAAATGACACAGTGAATGTACATGAATACTGTAGCGTGAGACACTGCACATTTTCAACAACAACTCCCATGATCCTCAGCCACTTCACGATGTCATCAAACTACATCTTTGGTCATTGTTTTGAATGAGAGCCCCCGAGCAGCAGAAATGACATATAGTCTGTTTAGCTTCTTTCTCTTTCTCTGCCTCTAGCTGTCCGGTGGTCGGCTGTGGGAACTCAGATGTCACAGAGTCAGACCTCATTCCAGACCAGATGCTGAGGAGAAAGATCCAGAGCCAGAAGAGGCAGAACAGCCGCACTTAGTGCTCGACAGTTTTACAAACCATTCCTTACAATTATTCATTAAACCCCTGACTTTCGTATGGAGAAAGAAATATGTTGTTGGTAGCAAGTTGAGCAGTTTTCATCGGTAATGTTGCTGAGTTACATTTGCAAGTGTTTGTGGAAAAGTTCTATTTTTGAAAAAAATTATCTCTCAGAAAATATCTTCTGCTCAGTTTGAGTTTTGAAGTGAGAACTGTTTTTGTATAATTTATCTGGAGCATGTTTGTATGTTTCAGTTTTGTTGAATGAAAATTAAAGCTTCAGATGTTTGTATGAAATAATTGCTCTTTGCTTTTGTGTTCCTGATGCAGTAGTTTGACAGAACCACAAGAGAGCAGCGTTTGCTCAAAGCCAGTGCAGAAGAAATGAACCTTACTGTTATTATTATTCCTCAGTGTCAGGTAGACTACTGGTCTCGTGGTGACCCCTTCACAGATCCTTTATGAAATCATTTTAGAATCTCTTTCTACTCAAGTGTAGGAACTCTGATAATGAATATTGGCATTGTTGAAAGCTTTATATAACATATGCAGTTCTGCTCTAAAGAAGACTTTGCAAGAAAAATCCTGGAGATGTAAAAAAAAAATAAAAATCCTCGAAACACAGTTACATGAATGAGCCATAAACAAACTGTTCTTTAACATCTGCGGGAATGCACTTAAGTGATTAAATCTCTCCATGCCTGCTCTCGCCCCTTGTGAAGGGTCTTTGTTCCAAAGAGAAACAAACAAAGGCTGCGTTGAGATGAAACTAGGTGAAGCTAATCTTTTAATAACCTTGCATCAGGCATTTTTCAAAATCTCTAATTGCTCTTTCCCTACAATGAGTGCGTCACGCAGCACAAAGAGCATTTTGCCAAAGAAGATATTAACTGGCAACAAATGCTCTCGCTGATGTTGGCTCATTCATTCCTCCACTCTACTTCGTTCTGAGCCGTGGCTCTGTCAGTCTAATCTTGTTTACGGCACAACATGTTAAGTCACAGGTAATTTCCCAACAACGGTTCAATTTGTGGAAAGTGCACACACCAACATGCCTCAGCGTTGCATTCACCGTGTTGCAGGCAGAGCCATTAAGCTGTTTCTTTGCAGGGATGTGGAACTGTAAATATCCTTTGGAATTCAGTCACAATATTGCACGGACACACAGTGCTGAGAATGGGGGGAAAAAAACAATCAATTCCTCATAGATGTTTGCTTACTTCTGGTTACGTTTGATCTGGAATTCACAGTCATCTCTTCAAAGCTCCAAGAAGTAGGTGTAATGGCTGCCTGAGACACTGTAAGCCTGGATATCTGGCTTGTCCAAGGAGGATTTTTCCTTTGGCTGGAAGTATTCTCACTTCTTGGCAGTGCCAGAGCTGGGTGGAGAAAGAGATGAACAGCAGGGCTCAGATGAGACTGGCACTTCAAAATTCTAGTTTGATCCCGGTGTCATGCTTTTCTTCCACTGTTTTTTGCGGTTAAGTCTAAACAGTTTGACATCTAAAAAGTAGTCCGGTTCTTTCTGCTGTTGACACACTGAGTTGTCAAGGAAACTATATTCTCACAGGTTGCCCACATGACCTCTCCCTCTCTGAAGTGAATAAAACAATCCTTTTATTGCAGAGTTGTTGAAGACTTCAAGTGATACCTGAACTTTAGAAGAAGTACTGTCAGACCAAAAATGGTTCAGCATCCCTGTTCTGTAAATCTACCCGCGCAGTAAATTCCTGTGGTGACTCTTGGAAGCTTCATTTCGGTGAAGCACATCTCAGTTTTGATATCCAGGCTGGCCTCACTGATGTGTAGATCTATAGCTCAACAGATTTGGAGGCCAGATGTCAAAATCCAGAGCAAAGTTGATATTTTTCTCTTTGGGTAAACACATAAAAAAAACATATAATTCTGTAAAAACCTGTTTGGATTTGATTGTGTAAAGTTATGTTTGGCTTCTTACAATAAAATGAAAACCTGTTTATGAATGAAAAGGTATGCCCTCAGTGTGCAGTACAGCAGTGCACTTTATTTTATTAAATAAGCCAACTTTAGTCATTTAGTTTCTGTTTGACAGAATGATTAAAACTACATTTCGCTGCATTTATTTTCAACTCGTATTTCAGGTCTTCATTACCCCGTTCCTAATGTTACATAATAAAGTCCTTACATTGTTGTGTGCATAACTTACAATGTGCACGCAACAATGCAAGTTTCTATAGAGAGTTAACTGTGAACACACATTTAAACATAGAAATAATGAAATATTTCATACCGACCAGAATTCATGTTTTTGTTTCTTTTGTTGCATTGTAAATCTCCTTAACCCCTTCTGAACTTAAATATGTAATTTCTGTCACGTCTTTTGAGATGAGAAGATTCTGCCTGATCTTTTGGGATCCAGCTTTTTAGAAAATGATTGTATTGATCACTTATGGACTTCAGAGTGTGTGTAAGTGTGATGGAGACGGTGTTTACATGGTGGCCAGGCTTCCTTTTCACGCATATAGCTCTGAATATTTGTTGTTGTTTTTTAAATCTAGAATGGTTGTTCCAAATTATGCATTGCAGCAAGACAGTAAATAATAATGTAATTTTAAGGAACAAATTACCATTTGCAAAAATGCAGATTTTTGATGTGGACATTGATTCCAGTTTTGGCCTGCTTTTTTTTATTTTATTTTATTTTTTATTTTTATTTTATTTTTTTTACCATTAACATGTAAATTAAAACTTTAATTAGATAATCTGTGACTTTACTAGATATTATCTGTAATTTAACAAACCATGTAAAATCTGTAAAATAACAGGAAATTAATTTTAAAAATTGCTGTTAAAAATTGTAGCCCTAATTTTTATGCAATTAAGGAGCAGCAGTGTAATGCCCCACCTCTTGGAACACATCACAACACTAATGCTGTGTGTCCACAGGATCCATGCAAACCCTGTTCTGGAGTGTGGCAGGGCGTTTTGTGCGACCAGGCATAGCGTCGCCTGTGTGCTCATTTGCATAAAGTAGATTTGACTTCTACTAAATGCAAATTTGGAGCGGATGTCCGACGCCTTATGTAACTTTCGTAAAACGGCTAAACTAGCTGTTGTTGACCTAAAATGAGGACAGATTTAGCAACTGCATAGCCTATTTCTCACCTTAAATGTTTTCAGAAATACTTTTCGCTAATTAGTTTTTGTAATAAAAGCAAAAGTCTGCGCAAAGTTTGGTTAGCAGCTTCTACAGGACTGGTGAGTGGGACAGCGGCTGTCATATGACCACATCACGGCCGCTCTCAAGCAGTCGATATTCAGAAGCTATGTGTGAGGCACGGGTAAAATTGCCCCTCTGGACACGTGGCTTAACGGCATGCCTTACATCGGCTGTGTTCAAAATCACATACTTTTTCTTTTAGATTTAGGTACAGCTGCCCTCAGACAGTACGTACTGTTTCATGCAGTATGAATACAATAGCGATGTACTACTTGGTCATGATAATGTACCATAAACTTTGACTGTCACAACCTGTAGTGCAAAATGTGACGCCATCTTTCTGTGCGCCCTCTGGGAAGAAAACATGGTGACTGCAAAACCTGACTGGAAGTAGTTGGACATTCAGGTATTTTAGACATTATATTTGTTGTTCTGTACATTGGAACATGTTAATTTTTTATTTTTGGCATACTTTATAATCAGGTAGTATGGATATTGGAACACGTCCAGAGATGATGAATGGGTAGTGTAGAAATGATGGCTCCTGTGGAGGTTTCTGTTTTCTTGTGAGGGCCGTGGCCCCCCTGTGCCCCCCCTCGGCTCTGCCCCTGTATATGGCACTGAGATGTGGGTTTATTGTGATTTTTTTTCATGATTAAAAGATACTAAACTACATGGCAACATTTCTAGTCAGTTGATTTTTCCGTCTGCTTATTCCAACTTGAGTGTAGACTGAATATGTAAATGAGGCGAAGGCGCGTACTGTCGCTTTAAATGACAACACCTCCCAGCAGTCTCTGGATCCTGGGCGAGTTTCTCTGCAACAAACCCTGAGCTTCATACTACAGACAGTCTAAACAGCAGAGCAAAGCACACAGAGCAACAGCCTCCCGTACAGGAAGGACAGCAGCTGCCAGCACAGACTGAAATCCGGTTCGTTTCACCGATGTGACAGCGGGAGAGCGTGAGAAAGCTGCCGACTGACGCTGAACTGCAGGTGAGTGTCTGCTGAGTTCACAGGGACTGACCTGAGAGAAATGAGTAATTCTAGAGTAGAGCTGAGGAACACGGACACGACAGCAGCAGTGTAGGTGATCAGGAGCAGTGAGCCGGTGGGAAAAAAGTCAAAACAGCAGCAGTTATGTTGGTGAGTTTGGTGGAAACTGTGAACCAACAGGTGAGTCAGGTCACACCTGTTGGGAATGTAAGCTGAGCGAACAGTTTGACTTGCAAATAGCCTCTGAATGTCGTCTGAACTCAGTCCTGAAGCCACCGTCTTCTTTATTCCAGTGCAGGTCTGCGCAGGTGGAGTCCGTTTGGAGAGCATACAGCTGGACATGGATTACTGGCGTCCGTCTTGGCCGCTTTGGATTTAGTTAAGACGCCGCACAGCGCTGCGCCTCTTTCCGTCTTCTAACCGGTTCAAGTGAGAGCATCAAGAACAGGTGGATCCTGTTTCTGCGTTCAGCTTAGTCCCTCTCCCATCCACCCTCCACCTTTATGGGGAACCAGGTGGAGAAGCTAACGCATTTAAATTACGCAGAGGTGCCAACGTCGGACCCAAATGGGTTCGACCCGGACGACGACGGACCGCGGATTGGTGTCTCTTATATTTTCTCCAACGACGACGACGACGAGCAGGACGACAATTTGGATCACTTTCCACCGGACAGCCGCGCAGTGAACCATGAGGAGAAGCCCTTCGACCCGCAGGACGAGCTGGAGTGCGCCATCTACTACCGAGAGGAGTGCGTCTACGAGAGGAGCACCGGAGCCGCCACGCACTCCCCGGAAAGTCTCCTGAACAAGTGCAGACCCGGAGACCTGCTGGAGTTTGTGGCCACCGGACAGTATCCACACTGGGCTGTCTATGTCGGGGACTTCCAGGTGGTTCATTTGCACCGAGCCGAGATAAAGAACAACTTTCTCACCGACGTGAGTCAGGGCAAGAAAGGCAGGATAGTGAACGGCCTCTACAGGTACCGTGCGCTCCCGCCGGAGGTGATTGTGAGCAACGCCCTGAACCACGTTGGCTCCAGAGACAGAGAGCCCTACTGGAGGAACTCGGAGTGTTTTGCCGCCTGGTGCCGCTTTGGCAAACGGGAATTCAAAATTGGAGGGGAGATAAGGATTGGAAAGCAGCCGTACAGGTTAAAACTCCTCTTTTCCGAGAAGAAGAGTCACGTCCTGGAGTTTCAGAGCCTGGAGGACGTGATCATGGAAAAGAGGAGGAACGATCAAATTGGCAAAGACGCTGTGATGCAAGAGCTGGCCAACCACTTGAACGCGACGCACGAAATCAAAGAGGAGCATTTTGTCAATTGATAACGGATGCTCTGGTCATCTGATGAGAATCTGTGCTTCGGTGGAGATGCGCAGAGCCTGCGTGCTGGTGAGGGAGCATCTCTGCATCCACTCCACTTAACAGCCAGTGTTTAAAAAAAAAAGAAAGAAAAAAAAGAAGAGTGTTTAGAATTCATCTTGATTATGTTTCTCGTGCAAAATGCGAGGAAACCTCATGACATCTGGAATAACACTTTCTCAAGTGCATTAGCAAAGAAGATCACAAGGGTAAAGAAAATTTCCATACTTTAATTAAAACAAGTGAAGATTAAACAGCCAGTGGCAGAATCTTCTCCTCCCTCATGAGAAAAATGAGATGTTACACTCAACATAAGTGACTTGTTCTGATGGATACATCCAGCTGAAATGGAATCATTTTAGGGTAGAAGTCCAACATTTAATTGCCCATAATTATTTTTCTAATCCAGTGAATCTTTGCACAGAGGAGCAGATAAAGCTCTCCTTGTACTTCTGTGTGATGAGAGTGCTGAAAGTACCTGCTCCTGTACAACTCAGGTGTTGGAGACCAATGCAGAGTGAGAGAGACAGCTGCTTGCTTTTCTTGTTGTGTCTCAACCACAAGGATCCCCCTCTGTTCCCTTCTATCCAATCATCACAGCTTTACCTACTCTCGGACCACTCTGGACACCATTCATAGCCATGACTGTGCACTTTTATTGATTCACCTGTTACAGTTTATTTTTTTGGAAATATTAAAAAAAACGACGTTTGTATGAAGGATTATGGAAATAAATATATATTTGAAGAGTAAAGTTATATTTTTTCCTTTTTTTTTTATTAGTGAAGGCTTGTGACTAACCTTTTAGCTGTTTTGTGGGGTTGTTGGTACACTGCCAATCAATAATTTCAAACCGTGAACCTCAGGAGACATTATTGTAAACCCTGCATCCTAAACACCAGCATTGTTTTTGCACTGCTCTGATGATGTGAGAACAGCTCCACGCTCAGCTCACACCCTGAAAGAGCCACGGCTCTACCTGTTCGACTAGAAAGAGCCCTGCTATTTGTTTGTCGTTGTGTAAGAAAGAGTGTTGGCCACCCCATAGTTACAGCTGCTGTTTCTGCCAGTTTTGATCTAAGCATTTGCCTCAGAGCAGCAGCTCCCTGAAACTACTTAAACGGCAGCTTTATTAGCTCGTGTCAAATTGTGTTCCAACCGTGCTGGACATTTTGCTTTGTTTACACCTCTGCTGACTGAAGATAAGTCATTTTTGAAAGTTTAGCCACAGGCTAAAACTGTTCTTCACCCATATTTGGCTTACCTTCCTTTTCCTTGAATTACAGCATTTATTAAATTTAGGGCAAAGGTGCGGTTTTGTTTGTGCACACCCACTAATAGGCTCAATTTAAACTCCAGCCAAACAATTCAGTTTCTATTAGGATCCACTGAAGGGAAATATTATAGAGGATGCAATTGCTGTTTATATCATTTTAATAAGATTGAAATTTCAATGCAGGTAAATTATATATTTGAGTCTAAGAGGAAATATATGCATAAGTTGAGACACCTATTTAAATGCCAATGTCATACAATGAATGCCTGTGCAGCACTTTGCAGTGCGTTCACATACAGAGGCTGCAACGGAAATTACAGCAGGCTCTGAGGTTGTTTTGAACTGCTAGACATCTTGTTTTTGTTTTTTTCTCTCTGTGTGCTTCAGAGGACGCTGATGATCACAGCCCTCGTAGCCGGTCGCTAGATGAGTTACTTGTTGCCTGTAGTTTTTCTTCAGGTGATATTTGCATGGAGATGATAGCGCAGTCATTTTGTTACAGGTAAGGTCCCACCGGACCCAAAAGCAGGATTATCATCAGTGCAGGTTCCAAATAGGAAAGCTGCTGGACACATTAGCATTTCTTCAATTCTCTGTGGTCGACCATGGTGATGAAATATGAATTGTGCATGTGTGTGTATGTGATGCATATTTATGATAATCAGTCATATTTTTCAGCGCCAACAGAATCAGAGGAGCCCTGAGTGAAGCGCACAGTGTTAAAGCAGCTGCCAGTGGGATTGTAATTATGAATATTAACTCACATTTTTCATCATGTGTGACACTGCAAAATGGAATTGCACGTACATCATGTATTACATTAAGTTTAATTTATTTTGCACACATTTGTGGCTTTTCTGTGGTCTCGACGTACACATACCATACCATGGACTGTTAAACATGGAGAAAACCGCACCTTAGAGTTTATGTACATTTGAGTGACGTTTAAGGCAGAATCCACATTTGATGGGTATTTTTTTAAGCTAGACTTTTCCTCTTTTGTTCTTTGTCTGCACAAAAATGCAAAAGCACAATTAAAGCGCTGTCAAGAGCTGCCAAAACAACAGGTGTCGATATAACCTTAACCCAACAGCCACGTTGGTCAATAAGAAACCTAAAGGAAAGCTATAACTGGCTCAGTTAGGCTACCAGCTTCAAGAAAAGGGGGGAACTATATGCGTTGAGTCATTCTGACACCATTGTTCCTCGATATGATGAAAGAGTGACTGTACATTTCTGTGTAAAAATATAGAAAGTTCTGTTTCTATATCGCCAAAAGCTCAATTTTCGCTGTCTCCATGTCAGCGCTGCAAATTTGTTTCTGAACATCTTCATCCAGGAAAGAGTTTCCAAAAGCTCCATTTTCAGCGAACTCAAACTGTATTTATATGCGGACGAAATGGCAAAATGCATTGAGAAAGCTACGTTTTGAAGAATGCTCGTGCACATATAGATGGGGCCTTATTGCGCAGCATGTTCAAGACCTTTTCAAGCTGCTTTGTGGAGTTTTCTTATAAAAACTACATTTCTGTGTACATGTAGTGTTTCTCCCTGAATCACCATGTGTGCACCCTCAAGAGCGGGCTGCATCGCTGTCGTAAAAGTTGATTTTAAGTCTTTGTTTACCAGTGTACAACCCTTTTCTCTGCATATGTTGACATGTTGCTTCTTTGGACAATATTGTGCCAGAATAGTGTACAACTGGCACATACATGATGCAAACAGAACAGCAAAGGCAGTCATAAAAACATTGCCCCATAGCTTTCCTACAAGGAAAAACTCCACAGGGTGCCCTGTAATTTAGCTTACATTTTAATTAAATCAGTTCCATATTCAGCACAATTTCTGAACACAACTGATCCCCAATAGAACTCATTTTACTTTAGAAGGAGGCCACCAGTGTGATCTGTAACCAAACCGGATGAGACGTGACTTGTGAGAGTGATCCGTTATAAACACCCCCCACCCCCACCCCCACTCCTTTTTTTTTTTTTTTTTAAACAGCAAAACAGAAAGTGTGAAACTAGAGGGAAGCTGTTGGTTTGACATGTTGGCTTATTCATGTCAGCCTTTTGGCCAGTGAGGCTGACATGTTTCCTTTGGAGGTTTGGAGGAAAGCCCACACCCTTCAGGCTAAACTGGCAACGGTACAGGAGCTGGGAACAAGCCAGAACTCAAATCAAACCCATCCCCATGTTTACAAATTGTTATCTACAAAAACTTCTTCCCACACGCAAACACGGTGTGTCTGAACTTTAGAGGAGTCTGCTTATGAAGAGATTGTATCTGACAGGCCTACAGGAAGTGGGAGTGGATTTCAGACGAGGCCTCCAGCCACTGCGAGATTGTTATCCATGCAGGACAGACACTGTGGAGTATAAAGATAGATACTTTAAGGACATGTGACAATTTCAGGTTGTCTGCTTGACTGTTGAGAATTTAAATTTCACCTCGGGGCTTTTATTAGATTGCCAGTTTTCTGCCACTTGATCTTTTGCTGCTCAAACAGCGTCTCCGAGCTGCTCAGGTTTTTGCCAATAGATAGGATTCCTCTTTAACCGGTAAAGAATGGGATTTATGAATAGCTGTTGGGGGAAAGACTGTGCTTCTAAGATAAGATAGCTGAACAGATTATTAAGATTGCCCCAGCTTTTGATTAGCAGTTGAGTGTTTCAGGTGTTTTTGCCAATACGTATATATGTGTGATTTGAAAACTGAGCCACTTTTTCCATCCTGTAAACTGTAAAAAAAAAAAATAAAGAGTGTGCTCCTTGTTTATAAAATCATCTGCCACAGACAGGGACAGAGTGCTGTGGGGTATTTGTCAGGCCACTTTCACTGCCCACTCACCTGAATCATGTTTATGAGAGACATTTTCATTTCCTGTGAATTAGAGGGACTATAATGAAACTTCAAAAGCCCTTGTAACTCTAAAATTAACTACACAGCATTCATTACCGATTATCGATCCACAGCATTACAACTCACCACAGCTTGTTGTTTCACATTTCACTGCAAACTTTACTTCTTCCAGCGCTGCCCTCCTGCATCAGGTTAATAATTTATGTGGGACTTCCACCAGTTTGACTTGGACCGGACTGTGTTTGCTGTTCGTCTCAGACCGCCGCTGTGTTGTGATTCTTTCTTGTTCCCGTGTGGGATGACCGTTTGTTTTTTCAGCCACACAATAGCGAAGTCCATTCCCTCTCAGCACCATGGTGCTCTAATGTCGCTCTCCTTTTTCAAAGCAGCACTCCCATAGCCTAGTTTTGCACAGTTTTTCTTTTTCTTGCTTTGCCACTTCTCAACAGTCGAATTTAGTGTGTTACAGCTGCCACACATGCATTCAGGCAGGCAACCAATGTTCCCTTCCTTCCTTTGTGGTTTCTTTCACTTGCCTTGACAAATGTGGTTTCGTAGGACTGAGCAGTAGGCTGTGAAGGTAAAGCCACTGTTAAAAGCTAGAGCTGGGGGAGCTGCTGTGCTCAGAGAGGAGTTCAAAGAAATCATGGTGGTTCAAAAGGAAATAACAAGGAAACAAATACAATGCATACAGCGCGTGGGGCTGGGTGAACTTACCAGTGTGTAGATAGCTTTGTGTTTACAGTGTCTTTGATTTAATCTGACTAGAGGTAGAGTGCAAATTCTTGGACAATAGGAGCTGATGAGAAGCTCCTCAGGATGGAATCAGGCTCTGTTCTGGTTCAAGCAGTCACGTTGGGTCAGTGGGAGTGTCTGCTTTACATAAGCAGAATCAGACAACAAGAAAGAGCTGGAGGAAAACTTCAGTACAACTGACCCTGTTCTTTGGATGGAGCTGGAGAACAAATGACTGAAAGAAAGAAAGAAAGAAAGAAAGAAAGAAAGAAAGAAAGGGATAGTGGCCTTGAGTTAGGACTTGAGAGAAGACAATCAGAAGTCTCACTGGTTATTAAACCCTCACACTCGAACTGAGATGTGACTGAGAATTGTTTCGTTCGAGCACTCTGACCTGTTTGTCAGTTAAATTATGTACAGCAGGCTGATTCTATAGATACCAACATTCATCTTACCCTGAGTCACCACAGGATTTCCTGCCCTACATCTCTAGCTTAACTGACTTTACACTGAAACTAGTTTTAAAAGTTAAGTCTAATTTTGCTAATCATATTATTTACCTGGAAGAATTATGTCAAGAAATGCCTTTTTTCTCTACTGCCTCCTAGTAATTTATTTCTTTGGAGAATTTATATTCTAGAGATTAAAAACTTTTATATACATTGTACATTAAAAATGCCCCATCCCTAAATAAATTACCAGGTTCGACTCATAAAAACACCTGCAAAGGATCCTCTCACTTTTGGAAAAGTGTCAGTTTTTGTGTGGAGTTTGCTTCACCTGGCAGCAAGAGTCATAATCCCACGAGAGTCGCTTTTTTTTTTTGTCAATTAACAGAGCCTACCCTCGCAGCTGTCTTTTCAAACCTTCCACCCAGATCC